AACTTTATGACATCCTGTCTCAGCACAGACCTGGGGCTAATCTGCACTGGCTTGGAAGGTTGTAAATGATTAGCTAGTTTGAATTTGCATAACAATACTGACAATGAACGTGCATTCAACGCCACAAGTTTTTTTGTTTTTTTAGCCAATCAGAATTCATCTTCCGAGCCAGTGCAGATCAGCCGCAGACCTGTGTTACTGTAAACTCTGTATTAAAAGCTGCGGCTTCTATTAAAATGGTACAATACAACACAGGGGATGCGGCTTCTATTAGAGCATCTACACATATGAGAAATGGTGAATTTTTGGGTCTAAATTCTTCAAAAAGAATATGTGCGGCTTCTATTAGGGATGCGGCTTCTAATACAGATTTTACGGTATATAGAATTCCTATTTTGGCTAAAATAACTGCCCCTTCGCATTAGTGTTATACACGAAACTTGATACCCAGTACTTATTTTTCCAAATTAAGTTGCTTTTTAATTGCATATTTTAGTGAAATATTAATGTCATACATAATTCAATCTTTGAAACAGCAGAAGTAAACACACAATAATGATAATAAAATTTGAGTTCAAAATTTCCTGTATAGTTTTAACTAGCCTGAAATAGAATGTCCGTGAACATAATAAAATCATGCGTAGAACTCCTTTCGAACCAGCAACTAGCAGCATAAACTGCAAATTTAGCAATTTTATTCCTACAATTTAGTAAAGTAATCACTGAAACAATTTATTATATCAGTAAAATACTAGCTGACTGACGATTGACTTCGAAATGATCAAAGTTTTGAGCAAACTCCTTGCACGATATATTCGTCAGATCAGTGTAGAAAGAATGCAGACCTGCAGTGTTCGTGCACACACCATTGACTTTCTGGAGGTACCGGTATACATCAACTATCAAGGGGAATGCTGAGTTATTTTATTATTAACAGTTTCTCTTAACATTCAACATGGCATAAAATAATGCATAATTTTTATGTATAATCACAGTCAATGTTGTCAATAGTTTAAGTGTTTGTATTTCATTTTGTGTTAACTCATTGAGTATATTACAGTAGCAGTAAACAACTCCTGTCTTTCTGTGTGTATTAGTATGTGTTCCACAATTTGTATTACTAGTAGGGATGATTTATAATTGTCCAAAAATGCCATTAAATTTTGAATCTCAGAGTGAATTACACTTAAAGTGTGTAATACTGTGGAATACTTTATTTTTGCGGAAGGAATAATTCAGTGGAAATAAAATCCAGTGAATATACTTTTTTTCCTATCTTTTACATTCAACTCACTAAAAAACAGTGAAAATAAATTCCATATAACACATAAAAAGTCATTCCTGCGAAAATAAAGTATTTTACAGTATATGAAATGTTAGGATGTTGCTTATTCTCAGGTAAATCCAGTCTAGACTACATGTAACTACAAAGTGCCAAATATTCTGTCATCTCAATCTTGTGCATTTAGCCTACTTCAAAACAATTTGTTTTATTCTGTGGCACACACGTACATTCTGATCTGATATTTAATTATTTGGTCATTGGCGGCATGTCTTACTCAACCTATGTTGATTGGGTACTGTAATAGCATTAATTATTCACTGGGTTTTTAATTTCGTTAAGTAAAATCCGCTAAATTAAATCTACCTAAACATGTAAAATAACCATGAACACACTGTTTCTCTGCCAAGTTTGTGAAATTAAAACACGGTGAAGATGCTCAAAACATCAAAATAGTGAAATTGAATGTCAGTGAAAATAAAAGGATATACAGTATCAATATCTCCATCAACATAGTTTGAGTAAGACATGACGTGAAAAGAATTGTTCTTTCCATCTCAAGAATTTTACACTTGCTCCTCAAAAATAACTTATTTATTTCTCCATTTTTTTCTATTCATATGGGTTACTTGAATGTAAGAAGAAAATAACTTTTCTAATCATTACATATTTTCTAATTGATTTCATTCTGTGTAATATTATGCAAAATATTCAATATTTTGTTTACCAGTACTACATGTTATATGCATGTTTTATTTGCATTGAAGGACAACAGAGAATTGTTGATACATATTCATAACCTGTCTATTCAGTACCCTTATTTTTTAAGTCACTAATGTTTG